TTTTAATCGTATTATAGTTGGGGCACGCGTGTAGCCGCCACCCGCTTTCAAATTTTCAAAAAAGACGCTTGCTTGGCCTTCTTAGAGCTTTTCTTTTTTGCTGCCATCATACACACGACAAGCTCGGGTCATCCCCTGGCCTCCAGTTATGCTTGATTTTCCTTCACTCCGGCGTGAGCCACCTCTCCCTTAGCGCATATGATCCGCTCACTTTTTCTCTCTTGCGCTAAAGCCCGATTGTACGCACTCCCTCATTTTCAATGCTTTGTTGGGCCCTTAGGGTATAAAAGTCTGTTAGAGACATTGCGTTATCAGCGTCATAACGCGGCGCGGAATCTAGTCTTGTTCTTGAATTTTGTTACCGAATACGGCGGCGCACTATGCGACAAGCGGGCAATAAGCAAGGACACGGAGGGTGCCTAACTGTTGGGAAGGAATTTCGCTTGACCTAGCTGGTTACATTACGCATCTGTGCCGTTCAGCTGGTAACCGACCGTCTGCTTTTACTAATTTTTGCTGATCCCGCCTCATCCTTGCCTAGTGGCCTTGGTACCATCTGAGCTATTGCCATATTCTGGATCGTCGCCAGCTCATTATGAAAACTCAAATGAAACCAAGCCAGCCGAAGCAGCAGTCACCCGCCACGCTCGAGATCATCCGTGTCAGAGCCCAGAGACAGTATCCCAAAGACGGCGATGCCAACGTGAACTCAGGGATTATATAATTATCTAGGTTATATTTGTAATATGTTTCTCTCGTCGTACAGATTCTGTGGCCATCTAGAGGAATTTCAAAAACATATAGCCTAAGTTGATTTAATTTATTCCATTCTCATTTGAATTATAGAAATGTATAGTAATAGAAAAGAAGTGGTCCTTTGTTTATGCTTGACAACTTTTCTGTTCATCTGGGCAACCCAAAAACTGGGTCCCAAATCTATGGTTTTTTTTTGCGGTGCTTGCGCTTTTGCGCCTTATCTGTTTGTTTGTGTGTAATTCAAATATATGTATGATTTTCATCACGCTATCTTGCGGGTATATACTTATATATGCATACTAGAGCCCCTGTATCATTTAGCTAAGGTACGCTAGGCAAGAGATTTTGGCGGTTTACTTTACATCGGTAGAGCAAATAATTTCTCGACCTGCATAATATACCCATGTGATTTAGCACCGCTGGACATTTTTCTGTGGAGGAACAGAGTCGATATAACTAGGCACTGTACAACCGAAGAACTAAGCAGGTGTATTTGATAATGAAAATAGACAATCATGTCCGCCTTATATAAAAAGTTATCGAAGATTCTGTGTTTTTCTTTGAGTTTGTTTGAGTAAATGCTATGGAGGTATTTTGGACCGAGAAATCACGGCTTCCGTCAGCATTTATCATATGGCCACTGGGTCATGAATCAAATATAGAACGTCAAAGCAGAGAGATTTGACCAAATCTATCACCTCGGACGCACTATACGTGTGTACCTATCAAAATTCCTTAGAAAAAAAAAAACTACACGGCCATCCAAAAGAAAATTTTCCAAAAAAAATACTTTCATTTGTGTCAAATACCTTTTTCTTTCTCTGCTGTTAGTGTAGTACTATGTTGCGTTACTAATAATTTATGAGGCTTAAAATTGAAACTGTATCCCAACGCCAATATCATGTCAAAGCTGTCCGAGAAGCTCACCCTGCACGTCTGTGTCTAGTCGGCCACCTTGTATGTCTGTCTTTCTCATTTGGTTCTTGTCTCGTTTACTTCGGTTAGCTGGAAGCGTGGTGGTTGAATTCGGGCGTTAAGGCATATCGGGTTCAATTGGGTGGGGTGGGGTGGGGTGGGGTGGGCGGAAATGAGAAAACAAAGCCCAGCTGAGATCCTGTGAGTGATTTCGATTAGTCAACCACCCGCAGTAATTGCCCCCACCAAATGCATCTAAACGATTCATCCACCCAAAACCAGCTCCTTCTAGATAAGCCGTGTACCAGCAGAAGTGCAATGGTTTTTTCGCATGATTCGCAGATCATGCTAAGCGTCGGCAGGTAAAGAAGCACCTAGTAACCAGAAGAAGGGAGCCAATCAATATAGTCGACTGAAACTCATCATGACGAAACTCAATAGCCCGGACGATTTCGTTGTTGAAAAAGTTCTGTCCCGTCGACGATTGCCACTTTGGCAGGTTCCAGTAACTCGGAACGATGACCGCTGCTGTTATGAGCCTGGAATGGGGTAATACTTTGCAGACTTGCTATTCGTAACGGCTGGTCGCTTCCGGAAACGCCACTCACTTTCTACCTGTCTACGTGTAGTCATCTAGACCAAACCCCCAAGGAGAAGTGAAATGTATATGACAAGAGCAGAACAGAGGATAATTAAAGAAATTGGGGAAAAAGCTTGGCAACTGGTACACTGACATCAGCAAATTGATATTGAGATTGAATAGCAATAGAACAAAACAGGTTCTCTTGCTAGCGAACTGTATATCTAGCGTAGATGACCTTAGGAAGATCCGTGTATCGTGATTCTTTAAAAGGCGAAGAACCGGTAAGACGAAAAATACATGTGATTTGCTTTCGTCTGTAACAAGAAGTATATACAAAGTAAAGGGAACATGTGATATTTTTTACTTGCGATAGCTGAGCATCAAATACAAATATTAATCAGATGTGGTCGTGGTCAAAGTTCTATGTTGAATACACCTTAAGGTCATCATAACCTGTTGAAATGGCATAATTGTGAGAATCCTAGTTCATGCCATATGTTTGCTTGCAACAATTATGACGGTGACCTTCTAATGAAGTCTAGCGCATATGCCGAGGTTCTTGTTGACCGCAGACGAGAGGCTTGTTACGAGCTGCTAATAATGGACATCTTAACAGACGTGCTGCTCAGTTTGACGTACGCGGCTATAAATTGCATATGGCCCCAAAATGTATTTCCTCTAAGATCCATTGAGAAACTTATATAAAGGTAACATTCACCAACTTAATCGAAGTTTTTCATTATTGACGATAGTAATACTATCGTTATACGCACACCGTGCAAAACGCGGGAACTTAATGCATTGAAATTATGTTAGTCGTGTCGATAAAAAATTAATAAAAAATGAACCCTCATAGTAACTATAACTTTACAACGCCGCCACCAAACGTCGCTATTCAAAAATACCGATCAATACGATATCATCTACGCTTTTTTATGGTGGGGCATAGGGCGCTACACAACGATAGTTATTATTAACCGATTTGTGCCTTTGCGGAGCCTTTTCAGCTTTATGGGTTGCATATATAGTCCATATAATTCGTTCGTTTGTTAAACGTAGAAATATATACATACATATAACATACTGAAAGTATGCTTCAAGAAGAACTGCTGAGATGCCTATAAAATACTTTGTGCTTTATTCTTCAGTGTTAAGTGGCGTATTGTCTAGGGAAATATAATTCGCACATCTCCAAACAATTGAATACCCCATCCTTGAGCTTAAAGTAGAAGTTTACAGTGATTTTATTCAGATGCATTATTTCGATCTGGAAGTGTTCCTAACAAATTATTAACACTAAGGATATCGGCACAAAAATATACAAATATATATATATATATTAGAAAAACATACTTTGTTGTTCATTCAAAATTTCTTTACTTTTTTTTTACATTTTACAATTTACAGAGACGTGACTGGTGGGACACAAATCGGTTTTGTTAAACGTATTACTTCGAAGTATTAAAAGCAAACAGGACGAAGTGTAACTACCCCATTATATAACACATACAATTATATTTCGAATCAGTCATTTGGATTTTGGGCATCGTTTTTATAACTAGTGTGAACAAAACAGGCTTAATCCTTTTGCTGTACGCTTTCAATGAACAGCATATTTTGTAAACTTTCTGTAACTATCGAAGAGCATTTTTTTTTGTCTTGTTTTTGTTTTGAGCAACTTATTTTTTTGTCTTTATTGTATACATAATATAGATATCTAGTAGTTTCGGATCTACCTTTTGCGAACGGATGAAACGAAGCCGCTCCGAAACAAGCGGACTAGTGTTTTCGGTTTGGTTAAGCCTTTCATCAACCTATATATATATATATATATATATATATATATATATATATATAGAGCGAGAGAGAGAGAGGAAAATCGTCGTAAAGTTAAACTAAATCTCTTCAACTATATAAAAGCTGAAAATTTATCGATCGTTTGGAATTGAAATTTATCACTGAATATTCCATATCAATACCCATATATAAAATGGTTAGCTATCTTCGTAGAACGTGAAATTGTCCAGTGTCCAAAGTTATCATAAGTTAATTTTTCGGTGATCAGAGGTAGAACATTCTTAAGCCAAGTAGGACTGATTTTGCCTACGGCGTTTCCTATTCTATAACGCTTCCCTGCTGTAACGTCAACATACATCGTTCGATTCTTTTAACATCTAATTAAAATTAGTCGTTAGGGCTACAGCCGATTCTGCTGCTTCGAAAAACAAGTGCCAGCATCCTTCCCTATCTGACGCAAACACGAACTATCGATGAGTAGCACCCTTCATTTCAAGCAAATTCAAGCAAGAAAGGCCGCATTTGTTCCAAGTGCGCCGTTAGCCAGTCTCTACGGTTAGCTAGATTCTCGATTGCGTTCGTGTATGTACGCGTACTTAAATTCAGCCCAGCGAACGGAAATACGTTGTTACAACAAAAAGGAATTTTCCGACGTCTAAATGTCTTGATGGTGAGGGCATCGATGTTCTACGGCTACCGATCAGTACAGGTCGATCGAGCTCAATGGAACAGTTGATGTCCATAGCGATAAACGAAGTTGTCTAATGTGAGGTTAAGCCATCGTTCACTTCGCTGTTGTTCGATTCGTCGTGTTGCGTATATGTTCTTGATATCTAATGAGGCTTGTATTTTTATTGAATTTCTGTATTTCCTTCATATAATATTTATTCATATTAAAAATAACTGTTTTTCTTTAACCTTATATATATATATATATATTGTATATTTATTATTAGTTTTGTGCAGTTTCTCGGAGTTAATTAATACTGATATAATAATGGAAACTAAAATTTCGATGTCGAAAGAGAACCAGCTTTGTTTCAGCGTGACTGTCAAGTTTAGCACTGTCGGAACGCCCTAGACTGTACTCAGGTCCGTTGAAGGCCACACTTCAATGTGAACCTTCTATATGGTCGAAGGGTCGACAAGCTACTATTAGTGCCATCTGACAGCAAAGATTCGTAAAGTAGCAAGTCGTGGTTCATACCGTGTGTCAAGCTATTTCTGACGATAACGGCTGTAGCGGGAACACTCGATAGGCTTTAGGTCGTAGGCAGCTGGGGCGGTCTGCAATCTGTGCATTACATAAATGCACAGCGACAGCTGGGAAGGTGACGATGTCATTTCTTTGCAATCAACAGAAAATCGGTTGGTCGCCGAAAAGCACAGATTCAGTGTGAGTATCCTCGTTGCTCGAATTGCTCCAGCTGCGATATCCGGGTGAAGAAAAGAGGGACGGGGAGTGAACGACCGAGTGAGAGCTAAATCATTCGCTACATGAGAGCGTTTAGCTTAGCAATGAAAAATAAGCTTGCGAACGGTACCGTATGCGTGTGTATAGCCTATAATATGACATCCAACAATGGCTCGCTCTTAGAGAGGTTGTGATAGTAAAATCCGTTCGTCTTGTCCGGGACGCTTTCCAATGCTAGCTAATTATACTCACGTATGGAAGTTGTACGCTTGGTGTATGTAAAGTTAGCTATCTATGCAGGTTTATCGTCTCTCACTAATAAATTATCTGGAATGGGTAGTTGGTCTATTCGGTAACAATGGCATAATAAAATGTCGTTGCTTTTTTTGCTTTAGCAGCAGACCCATTGGTGACAAACGAGAAACTGGCGAATTTTCAGTCGTTTAGGTAGCAGCATGAGTCCCCGCGATTGTGATGATAGCGCGGTGGATTGCGAGTGTGCTTACCAAGTTTGGAAACACAGGATAATTTATGTTAGAGTGACTCTGTTCCGTGACAAAGGCCAGCCGTCTGAAGTAATGTTTAACAACTAAGAACTATCATGAAATACAGAGGTCATTTCTTAGATGCCAATAAAGAAATTTAGTAAACGTTCCCATCTTAAATTAAATTATATATAAACTGTATAATCTATTTTGTTAATAGTTATTGCCACTATTTCTCAATACATTACGGTCGTTGTTTATTCGTCTTCTGATTTAGTTCACGCTGACACTTCGTCACTGTTACAGAGTCTTCAGATGCTACTGAACAGATGTTTTGCATCGGAACATACAATGTTGGCTATACAATAGCCGTGAACGCATATTTTGTTTTCGAAGATGACTGAGCTTTGGTTACATGCAAATGCCTATTGTGGCAGCACTTCTCCGACATCAATTTCAGGCTCAGGTAACGCCTATCCCTTATTAGCTCAGAGAACTGCGTAATAAAATCACTTATATTATTATCAATTTCAATGTGCGCTGATTATTTCAAGTCCCTGTCGACCGCTATTTAATTGTGCAACTACTATAGACATAGGTATTTATTTAGCTTGACCTTAAACAGCATTGAAGGTTGCGGGATCGCCATACTGAGTAGGGCTAGTTCTTAACGTTGCTACCTACGCATTACCGACCTCTTCAACGTAATAACATCATTAATCCACTTGAGGCCGTCGACAACATATACTATACGAACGGCGGAGTGGCCCTGTTCCCTGTCCGGGCCTACTAGTACACGCAAAATAAACCTAAGTGTCCGTGAGTCCGGATCAGCGTTGCTGCCACGCCAACGCCTTCCACCAAAATTTCAATGCTTAGTCAGTTGCAACGGCCCGTTGAAATCGGCCGAGACCAGCGAAGAAGCAAGCTCAAGTGCTCACTTCCTTTCAGCCTTCGTTTGTGGACCCGATGGCACGACCTGTTCAGCTTGTTCACCTCTTACCCTCGCATGCGCCGATTAGCCAAAGGCCAAGACTTGCTGACATTTCTTTACAGAATCACTATCTAGCCTTTTTTAGGGCTTCTTCTGATGGTTACTCATTATAAGTTTCTGATCGTTATGTACGGTGAGTTGGGCACTGCGACCCGTCCTACCCTTACCGCTAGAACTGTGCAGTGAAGTGAAACGCGAAGATTACAAACTCAATATGGCGCGCGATCTTCACTGGCTACGGACATCACCATCTTCTTCTAGTTCAGATTGAGTCAAAAAACAGAATCATATATGTCATTAGACACACGTAATACTGGATTAGCTGTTGTGCGTAAATTAAGCTGAAGTGCTGCGTGCAATAGTGAACAAATTCGAGGGTGCTCTGATTACGGGAGTGCGCCGGAGTTCATGAAGGGTTCGAGAACTGAATGAGAGAGTTCCCTTTTTAGCCATTCCGTGAGAGCTTTGTGCTCATTTCGCCAAACGTCTTATTGCTAAGCTGCCAGTCAGAAATTCTGTTTGAAAAATCATCCGAAAGGTGGAACTTACTTCAAATCCATTGCTTAACAAAGATAGGAAAAAATGGCCATTGGTGAACGCGCCTGGAAGGCTGTTCGCTGGGGAGCGACTACAATAGTTACAATCGTCGCCAGTGTTTTTGGCGCTGTTTGGTCGCTGTTGGCGCCATGGTCTCGTATTCGACGAGCCCCATTTTTAACCGAACAACCTCATTCGGACAGTTGCAATAAAGCAGTTTGCTGTGGAATGGATCTAACAACGCACAGAAAGGTAAATGTTAGTGGCACCATCATGCCGCCGCTATGCATCGTAATCCGTTAACTACATCTGCACGTGTTTGATTATATAAAAATTCTATTAGATTTATAGATATATACATGTGTTGGTAAGATTTATACATAGTAATGTCTTTAGATCCTAACCTATACTCATGAGCGTCAGCGGACGCTTACTTCTCAGGTATGGTTGGAGTAGTATGTTATGAATTTTTGTCTATTATATATAAGCATATGGCTTCGTCAGATTAAAGTCGTTTTTCTTTAGAAAGGTAAGTAGCTTTTATGTGTCGTAATTGTGTGCCTTGAAATATAGTATCGTTCCGTATAGGACCGGTCCGTTAAATGGTGCCGAGTTTCTTATAAGAACTATCTTTCTTTTCTTTTCTTTTCTTTTCTTATTTAGATTCGGATTAATTTTCGAAACCAGTAACTTGGAGAAAATTAAGCTTTTAACTTTGCTATTTTATCGCTGTTGTGGCAAGCTTTTCTTGCCGTAGTGAAGAGCGTTTCAAACCAATCGAAATACATTTTTATCGTACATTTATTAAGGAACTTTTCATTATCATTTAACATTAAGGGACACCTATTGTCCTACGGATGTATCCCACCCGCATATTCGAATAGAAATATACATGCAAGCGCTAACGTTAGGTATTGTTATTAGGAGGAATATGGGAAAGAAAATAAGAATATTTAAAAGAAATAACCCTTGCTTGTTTGACGAACGCCTAAGGATTAATCCTCTGTTCCTATAACATGTCTAGATAGTATAGACTAGAAGGGAAAGATACGGCAATAAAACGGCAACATTGATAGTAGATCTATGTTGTGTTCAAAAATTAATACGGAAAAAAGTAGTAAAGGTAAATTTTACCGTTACTCGATCAAATTTTGATCGGGTGAAAACAGTATCTCCAACACCAAAAGCTTTTTGCATCAGAGCAGAGTATGCTAACTCGTCGTAAAGTTGAAACGGCTTTTGCAGTTGTATTATCGTATAGTCTGATGGCCAAAACCTCTATTCTGTTCACTAAAAACCTTACGTTGTTCTGGTTTCCAGAACCCCTGGATAAAGCCTTGTCATTGCAAGTTCAATACAATCCTCTACGTCAACTTGGCCCCAAAGTACAAAAATTACAAGGTGAATATTGCAAAATTCGTTAATTTGCTCGAAACAATCAAGCTTTTAAGGTTTAAAAACTCCAAATGATTGGAAAATCTTCACCTATGGCAAACCCCGATGGGACGCAATTATACACATGATTAGGTAATGCCCACTTTCTTTACCTCTGCTTACACTCACTTCCAATGCTGTTAAACGTTAATCCCATAACAGATTCTAACATACTCCAAATTATGCCTGCTCATATAATATACTTGTTAAATATGTTTGTATATATTTGGTGTTGTTGCAGGATTCATTTGAAGAGGCGGAACGGCAAGTCCATCTGGCAGTGCGCAAACCTCAGGCTTCTACAGCGTCGACCGTTGGGCCAGATAACAATTTGAGAGCATCCCGAGACACCCCATCACCGACTCCGACTCCGACTTCTGCCAGCGGTCCTGGACAAACCTCACCTGGATCCAAGGGTGGACGAGATCCTCGCGGACAGTCATTGACGTTGCGTCAAGGTGCACAGATTGCCCGCCATAGACCGCCCGAAGCACGCCATATAAAAGCAACAAATTTATAAGGGATGAAGGTGAATGACATAGTAATAGTTACTTTACGTATCTTTAGGAGGCTTGGAAGACATGAGAGTTTCATTTTGCCATACCGCGCCCGAGGCAACTGCAGTTGTCAGTGCTTCGAGTGTCACGCTACGCAGCTTAACCTCAAGCGATTTCTGCGCAGTTAAGAAATCAGCTGTGCAACGATACCGGCTATGTTTATAATTTACATTGTACGAGATGCTATTGTTTTAAGAGCACTAATTGCTCAATAAATTTCTTCATCTCTATGTTTTTATAAGAGACGTTTTTCTAATTCGGTCAGGTTGGACCAGTGTGTCGACAGACGAAATTCGGCTACTGTGTTTGCTTGACGTTCGCGTCCAGTTTCTCCGCTACAGGGAGCTACAGCTGTGATAAATAGACTTAACATAAGAACGGTCTAATAAGGAGACTAGCGGTCAAACATGGGCTTCTACAGACCAACGTAGATTAGAAAACGTAATTGCATAGGCAGTGCTATCGAGAAAGTTCACCTTTGAATATGTTAAGGCCTTCCAGTGACGCCATTCGGCCTGCTGGGAGAAAAAGAATTTCGTGAGAGAATAACAATTAATAACGAAGGCTCTGACCGTACAATTCTGTTTGGCTATCAAGCGTGTCACGACCAGAGATGTTGGAGACCTCCCGGCAGCGGACAACTGTAGGTAAAGATTTGCCACATATAATTCCGCTTAGAAAGTAATTCGTTTAGCAACCATCCGCGGCGCCATCCGAAATTGCATCGTCGTTAAAAATCAGCTTGAAATATGTAGCTCTATTTTGAAGCTGGCTTGGTTATCGAATAAAAAAAAAGTTCCGTGAATTTACTCAATGCTCTGATTGCTAGATGGAAATTCTCACTTGCTCACTGAGATAATGTCTAAAGTCTAGCCTAATTTTGGTCGTCTAAATAGGTTTACGCGTCGATTTGCATATCTGGTTGCTCTTTAAGAAGAGTTTGCCTATCACGAAACCTGGTGACGAAGATCATGTACGTACAATGAATGACGTTTTTACGCAACAACTATTAAAGTAGGCGACTAGCATTACTTGATCTTCATCGTATCTATTTGTCATAATCATTATTCAACTATTTGATATTGTATTGACTTGATACGGGTCTGAACGAGCAATCCGTAAATCATCGATCTAAGCTTTTACTTAGAACGTCCCTCATGGTATTCTATCTAGAACAGAGTTCCAAATACCGAGTAATAGACGCTTATTGCGCTATAGAAGAAGCGTGTCCATACCGAATACAGTCTGTGTTGTGGATTTGAAAACGGGACAAGTGCCAATCAAAAAACCTAATACGAACCTATGGGGAAGCTGGGAGTTGTTTAGTACAACGGACGATCTTTTCCCTAACGGTAAAATAAAATTAAGTTCTCGAAGACAAGTTTTATGACATTGTATAATTCACCACCGCAGCTCCGGATGGCGGAAAGGTCTATTTCGCAGGGGCTCTTCGCGACATTCTAATTCCAATCGGAAAAACCTCCATTGTTCTATGATGTATAGGTTATCCATGTTCATGTATGGTTTTCGTCTAAGCTATACTGTATGTTTCTATATATACTTTATGTATGATACTATGACACGACTGAAGGACGTCTAACGATTGAAACTTGGCCAAAAGCTCTTAATTTAAAACTAGCTGATTAATACTAACTTATTGTAGATAACTGTATTTATAACATTCTGATCGAAAACTAAAAGGGCGTAAAATTTCACAGGGTACAAGAGAACATTTAGGTGGTCAGCCCCCGTGACAGTAACGGCCTCTGAAAGTTGTTAAACAAAATGGTTTTTGGACAAATGGAAGGCCCGACGCTGATATGGCAGGATTTATCAACACACGTTACTATACCGAAAGTTATAGCTATGCATGCTGCGAGTGCGGCCTATATCCCAAAGTGGTTCTAGAGGGCATCGCGTGGATATTTTCCACGGTACATTGGGAATACTAATAATAACGTAGTCATTTCATGTCTATACACTACAACTTGGCCGAAATTATACGTGACATTCTGAAGATGACTTTGCTCCGTTGGCGTGTCTAAGGTGTGCACTCGTGTTTAAGTTCGGAGCTAACAAATTTATTTGACGGAAGGGCTATAGTCAATACCATGTTGAGTATGGTGGCCGTTCGGTGTATACGCCTGAAGTTTACCGAAAAAGCTTTGGGTCGGCAATTCTAGAAGGGACACAATCATTCTTGAGTCTGGATCTCGTTGTTGATACTTGTTACAGAGATTTATTTTATAGCGGGTATTCGCGGTGCTAGTCGATACCGTTTTATGGAAATCCCTCCTTGGACATTGCTTTGTGAGGGTTTTTCTCAAGTAAAACTATGCTTGAGAAGCAAAAGAGCAATAGCCTAAAATCTCATATAGTTAATGCGGTAAGTTAATAGACGTCATTAAAGCATTTATGAGTATAAGCAAATTTCCAGCGCCATAAATGTTAGCATTCATATTCATTTAACAGAAAAAAAAAAAAGGTACCTCTTTACTGTATTTACTATACATACTATAACTTCCTTTCGCTCTTTGGCTTAATTACGGGCGCATGGTTTCTACAATGACAATCGAAGCACCATAAATACGTACATCGTACGTAGACCGAATAGCCATAGTGTGTACAGTCGCCATTCGTGTATTGGACTTATTCTGGCCAAACAATTAAGTGAATCATATTTGTAAAGGTATACGCTAATTTTACGCGGCGCCATCGTACGAATAGTGAACCACACAAATTACGCCCCTCTTTCGCCACCGAGTGAACGTTCCTAGCGTAATAAATCTCCCTAACATGCAAATTAGTATACATCCCTATCATTAGCAACGATTTCTCTCCTAGGGACTAGTCTATCGTCAGAGATGACGAAACTTGTATCTGTCAATATGAGTTGAAACCCACTCTATCTGTCTCCTAAGGCCTATCCCCATCAACTAAATATAAAACTAGGCCAGTTCAACGGTCCTGCGCGCGCGGTGGATTCGATCGAGTGAGCACTACATTACCATAATTTTAAAAATTATACACCTAATCTACAATTCATTTTGCTGCCAATGGCAATGAATGCTAAATGTATCTGACACAAATATCCTTTTTTTTTGTGTACCAAATCTACAGGTACCGTTGACAATAAGGAGCTATGGAACTTAATATTATAAGGCATGCAATAGTTAATGGTAGCTTGTTAGACGACAACGTACTACATTTAGCATCTTTCGAACGTGTGATGTTACAGTTCCTAGTCCGCCACACACCATGTTACGTTATGTCACTATATAGTTTCTAACATTTCGTGCAGACTGAATGGAAGCAACGTGTTTGGAAGCTTCAAAACGTCGATTTCCATCACTTTTTTTCGAGTTGACTCGCTCCTCAAACACGCATAAAATATTCCCTTTCATATTTGTTTGTCCTTGGGCCGTAACACCCTTACAAAACCCCATGTTACTACTGCTTCGTCCCCCGTTCTCCATTTCTGCCTACGTGAATAAGCGCCTGTCTGTGAACAAGTTTGATGTCAGCGATCATCAGCAATCCACTTCGAGAACTACGTCCATCCAAGCAACGCCTTTTCATCTACATCCTTTTTCGTACCTACTTTTCTTATTCTATCCCTAGTACGTGTCAGCTCTCGTCAACTTCACTGCCTTGCCTCTGTCCCCATAAACTCCTCTGAAACATTCGAGAGTACATCGTGGGACCGTCCCGTCCACTATTTCCCGTTTTCGTCGTGGTTGGACCCGATCAGAGCATTTTTGTACGACAAGCGCGCGGTGTGCATTGTTAACAGCAACGTTGGTCTCCGTATTCTTTCAGTTTCGTCCCGCAAAAGTTATGCACCAAAAGGAAAGCCGGTAGATGAATGGGACCAAAGAGAAAAGAGATAACGGCATTCTATGCGCGGCATCTCCTTCTCATTGAAGACACATAACGCGAACACGGCAGACAAGCTGCCAAAACTGGCGTTTGGACCAGTGCATTTTCCGGTCCCGCGACGGAGGCACCTGCTACCCCCTAGATAAAAACGATTTCCGTTTGGCAGATGAGGATGAATGCACTCAGCTTGCTTGTATAAGCACGCACGATAATGCGTACGATAGTAAACGTACGTGGCCTGATGACTGACTCAATCTGACGGCAAATAAGTCAAGCACGTAGAACTGTCCACGTGCAGAGCTGTGCGGTCCATAAGAATGGCATAGCAAATCTGGTTGGAACACGTGTACGCTAAGTATCACGAAGCGTCTACATACAATATACTTGCAAATACCAGCGGCATTGAGGGGAAAGGAAAATGACGGTAAGGAAATAGGTTCGATCGTAAACAGTAAATAAATAAGCAAAGAAAATAGTGAGCAGTGTAGGTTCAAAGGCAAAGGGAAAGGGAAGGATCATTCGTGAGGTTATGAACTAACGCGCAGATAAGTACTATTGAAAATTCTGCTATACTAGTAGAGCAATCCCTAACTCTCGCTAATGCTTATGCATATCGATGCGGGTCGTTAGATTTGCGTTGGCCCTGCTTATTTGTGGCGTCATCTGTGCTCTATTATTAGATAGGATAAACCCAGGTATACCTTATCTACTTTCACTGCCGGTCATATACTGACATGCTATACTCGTAAAACTTATCGATATCGAAAGTATTAAATCAACCAGGAGAATAATTGTAAGGAAACAATAGATTCCATTGAGAACTACGTAATCTTTAATGATTGATTGTATATAGATGCTTGGTAATACGCGCTCGCTTCTGCTAGTCTCCGTTCGCAGATAACAACAGTAAAAACGGCCGAATGAAACATCCTAGACACGCTCGCAAACTCAGTTCCCACAAGCCGAATCATGAATTGAATAGTCGCTTTCAAAGTTCAGGTAAAGGCGACGAAATGGAACCATCTCCAGCAATCGTCTCATTCATACATACATCATCGATTTTGCTGACAGGCGATCCTCTACGAAGGCGAGATGAAGTCGATGTTAGCCATGGCACTGACTACACCGATAAACGATTTACAGCGGTGGGGTGGCTGGTCGAGCCACAGCGACGATGCTGAAGGAGATGTAAATTCGAAACGAATGATTCGATTGCCTCGCCGCCGCCGCCGCTGCTGCTGTTCCCTCTTCGCCCCGCTTTGTTCTTACGTTTACCCCTCTACAGTCCCGTATACAATGTACTCAGTGTCCGCCATTCTAACTGGTAGTGCTTCTGTCGGGTCTGAGCTGTACTATCGTTTTTGTCGTCATCCATGTCGTCTACAGGCGTTGTGTTGTGCTCCTGAAAGGGCGGCAGGCAGAGCTCCTTCGAGGGCAGTCAATGCGCCAGCGAGCTCATGCCAAGATTTGCAAGGACTCCCGCTACGCCTCCTCTTAGCGTATGCGTCCGTCTTTGTCCTGCGATGTGGGATGGAATGAACGAAGAGGATAAGACCCACCTGAGCGGAAGAGTCCTCATCATACTGTCGTCGTTGTCGCTGATATTATGCCTGCAGCTCCTGCTGCGATTGGATTGCTACTGCTCCTGTTGGCCCCAGTAGTTGTGTGTTTTTGGCTAGCCATCAACGAGTGCGCAAGCAAACCTCCAGCGAAAAGGCTGCCACTGCTAACGTAATCGAGTGCGCTCATCTGTAAAGCTTTGTCCACGAACGTCTGACAGTCACTGTTATCCCAAAAGCCTCCGACGGCGTTTGGTACTCAGGATGCCCGGCCACACTGTCACCTCATATAGGTTAGTGGCCTGCTGGTGCTGCTGCTGTTGGCGGCACCACAACTCGCTTTTGTCCCCGCTACAAAGCATAGCTAGGCACGAGCTTATTCCTGCCCGTTGCCATTGCTGTTGCTACCCCGGTTCTTCCCTACTCACTTCATCGTGTCTGTTATGTTGCTTGATTTCGCTATATCGTTGT